GCTGCTGCTGTTGTTGCCGGTGTTCTGCTACTGCTGCTGCTGTCGTTACTGCGGCTGTTGTTCCTGCCGTCGCTGTTGCTTGCTTTTGCTGCTTGCCTGTTTGGTTGCTGTTGCCGTTGTTGCTGTTGCCGCTATTCCTACCATTGTTACTACTACTGTTGTTGCTGCTGCTGCTGCTGCTGCTGCTGCCGGTGCTGTTGTTGTTGTTATCGTTGAGGCTACTGGCCATAACGAACGATACTACGACAATTGTTGTTGTTGTTGCTGCTTCTGACATAAAAAAGAAAGATTAGAGGAGCTCCATAAGAGAAAAAGAAGGGAAAAAGAAGAAGGAGAAGAAGAAGAAAAAAAAGAAGAGGTTTTATTCTTTAAGTGTATGTGTTGTTCTGATTCTTTAATCTTTTCTTCTCATTCTCATATTCAGCAAAGGCAACAACAATCCGCCATCATCTTGGATCGCCGATAAAAAAGAGTAAAAAGGAAAGAGAGGGAGGGTGAGTAGGAGAGAAAGAAAAAGAGAGAAACCTCAATTTTTGTTGCAAAACTTCAAAATCAATCGGTTTTTGGGTGCAATGAATGGTTAAATGACAAAGAAAAGGCCATCGTTCGCTTCGTTGAAACGAGATTTACATCTTCAAAATTTTTTATTTCGTCAAGCTAGTGCTGTTGCTGCTGCTGCTGCTGCTACAACATCTGCATCTGCATCTACACCTGGATCACGGCCAGTTTCGGCAGCATCAGCATCTAGACTTGCTGACATAGCGTCTGGAGTTACAGCAACATCTGGAGGTACATTTTCTAGCATTGGCTTACCGAATTCAGCAGTAGCAGCACCACCACCTCATAGTCTTCATGGTAGGAGGGAAAGTTTTTTGTATCGGTCATCGTTTGATGAACATGAAATTGCACCCTGTCATTCATTGTCATGTGCATCGTCTGTTAATTCATCAGAACCCATGTAAGTTATTTCGAAGCTCTTTTGGTTTTTGTTTTTGTTATTGTTTTTTTTTTTGTTTTTTTTGCTTTTCTGTTTTTCTTTCTTTCTATTTTTTCCTCTTCTTTTTTTTTCGTTTTTTAAGCTTTGTATTTCTACTGCCGTAGTTGTGCTGCCTTTTTTTTTGACTTCACCGTCTTATGAAATATTCAGCACTTTTCTCAGCACTG